CACATGAAAATGTTAAGGCAGAAAAAATATAGCCTAAAGTGTTACTACCCTGTAGTCAAATGTACTAGTTGTAAACTACTTCACAACTAGTATGAACCGCATGCCCAACTAGTCAGCCAACTATCTTTTTTTCATGCAATCAACTGGTATTTTTAACATGGGGATGTCCTACGAGACGGCAATTGTCAGATATCGGTCAGAAATATACCAGTCTCATACTAGTACAAAATAGACAGAAAAATACTAGTCAAATTATGGACGAAAACAACTACTTTGGGAGTCAAAAAAATAAAATGAATTCATGAATATAAAATAAAAAACTTTTAAGTACACTTTAATTTATTACACATTTTTATTTAGCAGCCTTAGATTTGCCAATAAATAGTGTTAAATTTGTATTAAATATTCTTAATTTTTGTCAATAGTTTGCCTTGATGATTAATAATAAAAATTAATCAAATAATTATAATCGTCTAATTAAAACAACTCAAAAATAATTGAAAATGATCAAAAGTAACGAAACAATGATGTAATTAAAATTAATTAATTAATTAACATTTTTTAAGTAATTAATTACTTTTTTAAGTAAGAATTTTTTAAGTAATTAATTATATCCGTATTTAATCATTAAACGGTTATCCAAACATAAACATGCTTTAATTAATAATCATTATGAATATTAATTATTATTTAACAGGTATGGTATAATTGCGAGTACGTACTCGCTTTAACGGTTTACAATATAGCCAAATAAAAGTTATAATATTTTGTGTACTTTATTGTATTAAACTGTCGAAGTCAAATAAAACAGGGCATGAATAAATCGTTTTGTACTTGGTACAAGTCTGGTCATTTTCGAACTAGATAGGTTTCTGTCATGAAATTCTAGTTGTAAACTAGTATTTTTCCTGACTAGTTTGGGATTTCACTGCAGGGTAAGGACAAAGGAAGTCTGCCAAATAATATTACGGTCCGATATATTGTGAACTTAGTAGCAAGTAGCGCTGGAGTCACTATTACTGTTTTTACAGCAACCACACCACAGCGTTACACCATGTTACAGGTTTGCTCGTCAATGTATATAAATATGTATGTACATACAGTTACTTCCGAAATTGAGCGTACGGCTCTTTTCTGTTAATATTCGCTAAAGTTTTTTTGTTAATTTCATTTTAAGATATGCCTTATGTTTTAGCAAATCCCATTTAAATCCAAAAATGATGCTGTTTACAAAAATTAAGAAAAATCTGCAAAGTTTCAGCAAAACCGCGATCTCTTTACTACGAATTTCTAAAAAGATTTCAAGTATGCAGTTTTGTAGCCCATTAAATTTTAGTATAATAATGTGCAAATTTCAAATCTCTAAAAAAAGGATGGTTCCGTGCGCAGAAGTGGAAAACTTTTGACTGCCATTCACCTGGGAGTGGCCAGAAGCGATCCTTGTGCGTACGGTTCAAATCCCAGCTCACAACGTTCGGTTATTATATCCAGGTATCCTCTGGGTAGCAACCAAACACCCGTTTGGGAGCGAGCTAAAGTGAGAAGGCGTAAAACTTCGCGTGCGCTGGGTTTGGGTCCCGCCACGTTAAAACCCCGACCAATGAAAAGAAAAAAAACAGCCTCGGATGAGACCCCCTTTTTCTGATGACGACCACGGCAAACGTATAAAGGACTATGATTTAAGGGTATGCACCTGGAATATCCGGACCCCTAATGGGGAAGGTGCCTCTGCCCGGCTGGTTGATGTCGTCGGGAAGACAAAGGCTGACATCTCCGCCATCCAAGAAATGCGATGGACTGGGCAAGGAAAAGTAAGCGTGGAGCCTTGCGACGTCTTCTACAGTTGCCACGGGGTCGCCTTTCTTGTGGATTGGGCAGAGCACACTTAAATTCCAGTCGTCGGGCATGTGTTCATCTGACCATATTCTACACAAGAGTTGATGTATGCATCTTATCAACTCCTCGCCACCGTACTTGAATAGCTCAGCTGGCAGGCTGTCAGCTCCAGCGGCTTTGTTGTTTTTCAGCCG